CCCCCCCCTCTTTCTCCCTTGGGTCTCACTATGCAGCAATGATTGGCCTGGACCTCATTTTATAGACCACGCTGACCTTGACTTCACGGATATCCAACTGCCTCTGTCTCCCAAATGCTGGGTTGAAAGCGTGTGCCACCGTGCTTTTCCGCGATTTGAACCTGAATACAGTCCTTGTTGGGAACAACACTCACAGGAAACTGAAAACAGCTTGGTTGCGAGGTTGGAGAAGATGCTGAAAGTGTTGATGGGACAAACGTGGTGGTCACAAAAGTTAAACCTCATAGACTTCTGCTCACAGGCAGGGAGGTGTGTGTGTGCTCTGGAACCCGTCACTAGATTTCCACACAGTCCCCAACCAGGGCCAGAGCCCAGAAAGAATGAGGCAGCCTATCCTAGGAGACATAGGAATCCTTTGGTGTCTGGCTTTGGCCTGAGAATCCCCATCAGCCTTGCCGAACCTCTTCTGGATTGTACAGTAGTCTAGAATGTTTCCATCCATTGTCCCCCCAACCCCAACCAGCCTTGGCTTCTTGGGGTTGTGGTTTTTACCATACTTACTGAATCCTGTCCTGGTATCTGTTTTTCAAATGCCTCAGATAAGCACAATGAACTCACCCTGTTGGGCTCCAGGCAGGAAAGAGAAGTAGGCTCCAAGTGGGATACTGGAGAACCATACAGAGAGCAAATGAGTGGGAGCCAGTGCTTCCCCATATTAGGCAAGAATGAACAAAGGCAGGGAGCAGTTTCTGGAATCCAAAGACTGTGTGGACAGGGGTGGGGGTGTATGGGGTGTGGGGGGTGTTGCTTTATAGAGCTGGGAAATTTCCATATAGCCATATGCAGGGCCCCAGGTTCAGACACATTGGCCTTAATCCTTTGGGGCTCAACACTCTAAATCCACCCCCTCTACCTTGCTGGTGTCCAACTCATTTGGAAGCGACAGGGATCATGGGCATGCTGGCAGCTCATGCTGGCACCTCATGAGTCCCACACAGGAAGCACAGGGAGGACCAGGGTGGCAGGAGTATCTGGGAAGCCAAGTAGAGACATCCCCAGTCAAAGGACAACAGCAGGCTTTTGTGTTTGGGCAGCAAGCCTTTTCCTCCAGGTTTGCCCGTGGCAGCAAAACCCCAAAAGAAATACCAGCTCTGCAAACTGAAGAGCGACTTCCTTCCAAGGGTTTGTTTCAGGACAGAAGCCCGGCAGCACATGGCCCTCGCTTCCTCTGCATCTCTTAGTCTCAAACTCCCCCATGTGGTAGCTTCATCCTCAGGCTAGTGGACCGATAACCAGATCTCTTCCTGGCGTCACAGTTTCTCACTGTCAGAGGTAGGACAGCCATCTCTCCTGTCATGCTTCCCTTAGGAGTGAGGAAACCTTTCTAGAATACCTCAGAAGGTTCTTGTTC